GCCACATGCGGGAGCCGGGACGTTTGCGGGCGCCTCCGCACAACCCCATACACACACACACACACACACACACACAAGCACCCCCTCCGGGGGCTGGGGTGCGCGGCCGCGGAAGGAACGCGGAGGGACCGCGGCGGTGCGGGGCAGGACGCGGAGCCCCGACGGGCGCTCTCCTCGCCCCGGGCCGGTGCGGCGGGAGGGCGAGGCCGGCGGATAATTTAGGTTAAAACTTAGGGAGCCGTGTCACGGGTGTATAAATAAATAATGAGGCGGGGACGGGCGCGAACGGCCCCTCTCTCTCCTGGAGGGCTGCGCCGAGATTGCCACATAAATCACGGCGGTCTAATTCAGTGGAAGTTTAATAAACGCCTCCTATTGGAAATGAATGTTCCCCATTTAACAGTTGTATCAGCACCATATAAAACCATGACCCCAATAAATTTAATTTTAGAGGCCGATCAATCCGGGCTTCTCTCTATCGATCCGCAGCGGCTCTGCGCCTTTGCAGCCTCTTCCCGGCCCTTCCCGGGGAGGCGGGGGAAGGGGAAGGAGCGTTTCGATTGGGCTCTTTATTAGGAAAAGATTGCTCCGAGAGGCCTGAAAATTAAACGGTGACATTTTAATTACCGGACATTGACAGAGGGAGCGGGCGGGCAGGGGATGAGGACCGGGACCCCCCCAGGGTTTCTGCCGTGAGACCCCCGGGGAGTCTGCGGGGTCCTCCCGGTGCCTCTTCCAAGTGCCCTGGTTGTGTGTGCCTCCCCCCTACCCTATAGAGCCCCTCTGTGACCCCCCCCCCCCGCCATCTATGCACCCACCAATCTATGCACCCCAGCTCCCACACCATGCATCCCTCACTCTGAGTCTCCCACCATGCACTCCCCATCTACGCACCCCCCCCATCTATACACACCCACTCCACCACCATGTGTTTCTCCCCTTCTCTCACTCCATGATGCCCACCGTGGCCCCCGCCTCTATGCACCCTTTATTCCCACCACACCCTGGCTCTACCCAATGTGCACCCCTTGATGTGCCTCAGCTCCCCCACTGTCTATCCCCCTCACCTGCTTGTTCCCTGACTCCCCCCCCCATGGCAGCGCTGCCCCTCACTTTGTGTCCCCCAGCTCTAAACCTGCCCCATTTCCCTGGGCCGGAGCGGCTGCGGAGGAACGCCACGAGCACGATCGATGGACATGATTTTATTGATCAGGTTCAACCAGCACCTTCGAGGAGCTGGAGCAGGATGAGCCCAGGGCAGCAATTAACTCATCCAGGCCAGGCTGTGCGGGGACAGCCGCGTACCGCGGCCATCAGCACGGAGCTGCTCCCGATGAGCTCTGCAGGGAAGTTCGTCCTCCTCCTGCCTGCAGGAGCCCCACACACCCATTTGCCGTTAAACATCTCCCGGCCTGACCGGCTCCCTATAAACCTTGAACTTCCCCGGCAGGACTGGAGCGGGAGCAGCCGCAGCGCGGTCCCGGCCGTGCAGCAGCGGCTGCAGGAGCCGGAGAGGCTCAGTCTGTAAATCCTGTCCTTAGTGCACACTTGTAGTTTATGGGCAGACCCTTCGCTGAAGGTAAAGCAGCCCTGGGTCAGAGCGCAGCTCCTCGGCAGCCGCAGCGTTCCCACTGCAGCTTCCTGCTGGGAAAGGCACAGACCCCTGCGCTTCGCTCTTCTGAAAGCTCTGCCTTCTTTCTATTCAATGGGACCATCGTTCTCTAACAGAGAGAGGGATTCCTAATCTTCTTCCCCGGTTGGGCATTCCCAGGGGGCTGGGCAGCCCAGCAGGGCCACCCTGTGAGCAGGGGGAGCAGGGTGAGGGCAGCAAGTCCAGGGGACAGTCCCCCCATCCCTCCTGATTCCTGCCCTGCTGTGCCTGTGAGCGTTCCCTAGGTTAAAGGAACCCCAGGGAAGGCTGGAGATGGGTTATCCTAAAATGCCTGCTATAGCTGGGAACCTCACCATCACACTATGGGCCCTGGTGATCTACCTGGAGAGCCCCTCCAGCCTGGGGATACCATGCGGCATTTGGGGTTTGGGAGGTGCCATCACCACAGGGGCTGGCTTAGGACATCAGTGGTGGCTGAAGTCACTCACAAAGAACCTGAAATGGCTGAACAGGTTGTTCTCTGTGTGGAGAAGCTGGGGCCAAAGCTGGTTCTCCTGCTGGTGTCAAGGAGCTGGAGTCACCTGGGATGTGTTTAACTCATCCCCGTTAGCACACTGAGGGCTGTAAGGGAAGGTTCCCAGCAGCCCGGTGAGGGATGTGGGTCCTGGGGGTTGTTGTGGGGTCTCTGTGTCTATCTCTGTGGCTGCACATCCTAACGGGAGAGGGAGGAAGAGCCTCTGCACGAAGCTGCTTTGTCCCCACCAGCCTCGGGGGCCTCCTGCTCCAAGCCCTCGTGAAGGTGAAGGATTTGCTGCTCCATTTGCTGCCTAAAGGCTGAAGGTGCTTCCGAGTGCCCTGGCCCCTGCCACTGATGGCTTCTGTGATGAGGAGCCTCCCCAGAGCTGAGCCTCAGCTTGGGGAATGTCACCTCTTGCAGCCCCTTGACCTGCCTCTTCCCTCCTCTTCCTCACCAGGCAAGGCTCAGGCTCCCTGGGGGGGTCCTGGGTGCAGCTCCTGTCACCACACAGCAGTTCCTGCTCTGGGCTCCCCTTCGCTCTCCATCAGCACATTTTGCTCCCTGCAGGAATAGGGATATTTTTATTCCCAGCAAAGACCTAAATTCCCAGGGTTTGCCTCAGAGGCTGCCCACACGCTCTCTGCATTACAGGCACAGGGGGTGCCTGTGTGGTCCATCCCTTTTTCCATTGATGCCTCCAGGTTAACTCTCCCTGCAGAACCACAGAGCTCCACGAGGCAGATTCAATCCTCAATCATACCCTTTGCCTATGCTCTTGCTATCAAAGGGATCAAATGAAACTCCTACGAGCTGCTTCTATAGTGCTGTTACTAACACCAGCATATTGCTGGCTGTTGCCAGCCCTGTGTGACAGACCAGGGAGAGGGACAGGTCAGAGACCCCTTGCAGCCCTCAAAGCCTCAGCCCACTGCAATTCCCCTTTCCTGGTTTCTCTGCCAGATGTATGTGCATGGAGAGCCACACACAGAGCTTCTCAGGCTGTCATTGGGAAAACAAAGACTGACACTTGTCATTGGGAAGCTGACAGCAGGATGCACGTGGCCACGGGATACAAACCCCAACATACTCTCTAATTCTATGCTGCATTTAAGGGCAAACAACCATGGGCTCATCTCACAGGATGAGCTTTGCCTGGCAAGGATCACAGGCAGGGAAAAGCAGAAAAGATGGGAAGTTTTGGCACAGATGGGACATACCCAGTGTTTTACAAAGAGCCTGAACTCCCATAGGAGACTGGGTCTATTGGTACCACCATGACCGAGGGTACAGGGAGATGAGACAGAGGTGAGACCAGTGGGGGGCTGCTGGTGGGGTCCTTAAATGAGCTGGTGGGGTTAGTAGGGGAACTGGAGGGGTCACTCAGTGCATCTATAACACCCACTGGTGAATTGATGTTTGCTATGCAACCCCCCATGCCATGCTCTGCGCAGGCCTCAGCTCTGGAGTATAACACTGCTGCATCTTCTACATCCCTTTTCAGCCAAGGGATGCCCTGATTCGAAGTCCAGGAAGTTGTAGCAGGAAGGAGGAGATGTAACAGAGGCCCCAGACCTCCCTGTGATTGCTGGATTGATCAGGCACGCTGATGAAGACAGGGAGGTTAATATGTATTCTGGTGAATTATAACACTGTCAGCCTGTTAGCCAGGAGATGTCTCACATTCCCATCCGCTGGCATCCGCATGGATTTTCATGGTGATGTCTTCCCCTCCCGACCTCCTGCCAGGGAAAGTGAGAGGAAAAGCCTTGGGTTTACTGACTTTTTAACTCAATTCAACAGGGAGACTTTTTATCCCGAGAAAGCTGCTGCGAACTGTTAAGAGACAAATGGAGGAGCTGCCTCTGGTCTGGTGGCTCACAGGGAAGGGATTTGTCTCACTTTAGCAGAAGGACCTGGAGGTATGGGGGCCACTGGCTCATTCATCGTGCTGTGATCTGCCAGGGGGGTTGTGACATCAGAGCAATTAAGACAAACTTTGGTCTATAAGTTCATGCCTGCAACCTCTATACTTCGAAAGAAGACAAACGATCCCTCCAAGGAAGGAAACAAAGCCTTTTCCAAGCTGCCTCCGCAGTAACATTTAGGACTTGCAGTGGTTCAGGAGGAGTTTTTCACCAAACTGGTTTTTAAGCTGCTGGTATGTAATAAACTACCTGAGCTTTGGGGTTTCTTTAGCAAAAGTTTATTTCTAATGCAAAGACAAGCAAACACAAGCCCCAGCCTCCTGCTCCACCCAAGGCCCACGCCCCAGACTTGCCTTTCATCGTCCTCCTCTCTTCTTTGTCATAAGCATCTTAACACAAGGACTGATGAACTCTGTGTCAGCCTGCTGTGGGAACGGGCTCAGAAAGTGCAGGAGTGAGAAACACACAGCACAGACTTTGCAATTGGTCTTTCCTCTACAGGCACCTTTGCTCGACCCAGCTGCACCCATCATGCAACATCTCTGATGGAGGAAAACAAGGGATCAAGGCAGAGCTGAGAAAGGCAAGATGCTCCCATGGACTGCTGTGATAGGAAGTAAACCCCTGCAGCCTGTTCTCTGGCCACGAGCTCAGGGGATGATGCATGAGGCTGTGCTGTGGCACCCAGCTTCCTAAGGGGAGGGACCACTGCGCATCTGAGAGGATGATGCTGACCTACCTAACCAGCTTTTACTCTGGAAGGGCAATCCCTCACCTCCCTGCAGGATGGGCAAGTGCAGATACTTCTATTTGTGTTTGCTTTTGTTTTACATTTAAACCCAGTATTTAGTGATGTCTGCTCTCAAAAGACAGCCAACAACTCCTTATGGAAATCCTCTCAACACTCATTCATAAAAAGACTTAAGAGTTAAAAAATACTCTGGAGCCAGGAAATATACAATACATTCAATAACAAAAAAAATATAGATATAAAATACTTGCTTTAAGGCTGTGTACAGTTTAACTGAAGATAATTTGAGGACATGAAATTGCTCAGCAACAAAAGAAATGCGGGAAGAGAATTCCTTAATGTGGTGGTGAGGGAAAGGCAGCAACAAATATCCTGAAAGATCTTGTTGATGCTTCTAGAACATGTTTTTAGTGAGACATGATCCAGAGTGTGAGTCCAAAGCGTGGGGCTGGTGCTGCTGGTCCGGGATGAGCTGATGTCACTGTGGTCCCTGGGTCGATCGCCGCTCCTCAAGCATCCTGCACACCCACATGGACACGACTTCTGCATTCCCATCGTTGTACTGCACGATGAATGGGTGGCCCTGGAAAGCGGGATAGGCAGAGTTAGCCAAGATAAGCACAACCCTTCCTGTGAAAACACATATAGATTGGGATTTAACTGCGGGGAAAAAATACACTGGGACATAGAATGATAGTGGAATAGAATCATTACTGGAGTAGTCGGTCCTTTATCAGTGGAAACCTTACGCCTTACCCTGTGTACAGGAATCCCTTAAATGGATGGCTCTACAAATCACCTAGGAAAAAAGCAATATCCCTGCCAGGTGTTAAATTCCTTTTGTTGCTTGGCCATGGAGCTCTGTGCCTGCACATGCAGCAGGACCCAGTGCCAGGCTCTGCAGCACTCATGGTGTCTGTAAGGGGAGGGATTTGTTCATGCATATACATGCTTGTACATGTCATCTGGAGTGATCAGTTGGTATAGAAATGAAAATACAACTGAAACAGGTCTTCCTGAGAAGGTATTGTGGAAAAAGGGATAACTATGAAATATTCTTGCCCATGAATCATAGGGCTACTGCAGGCACTGGAAAACCGTGCCTCAGACACCCCGCAAAATCAGAACAGCATCTCGGGATGAAACAAACCCATGGCCTGCCATTTCAGCAGCCAGCTCAGGCAGCTCATGCCTCAATCTGGCCCCATTCCTAGAGACGGGAACATGCCATCTTCAGATGAATCTCAAATGAAGTATAAAAAAACCACAGGAAACCGAGCACCGCAATTACACAAATGACTGAAAGAAAGCAATCGCCAGGAGAAACCATCCCAGATGATGAAAACCTCCACTCCAAATCACTCTAAAGCAGCTCGGGTTTTGCAGCACTAAACTTCACAGCTCCTGCAAACAACGCCTGAAAGTAATCAGAGGGGGTTCCCCGGGGAGCCTTTGGGAAGGGTGACGTTCATGTGGGAATTAGGGGCACCAGGCACAGCACTGAACGACAGCATCTGCACAAGGGGAATGAACATGGGTCTGACGCAGGGCACGGGAAGCCCGGTGGTCGTCCGGGTTAGGATGGCACCAAGCAATGAAGCAGCACCGGGCTCAATAGAGCACAATAAATCCTCACAGCATCAGCTCCAAGCAATAAAACACTCTACGGGCCAGGGCCAGCAAATGCAGGAGCCAGAGGAATAAAATATGCCATTATCTACAAGAGTTATGGAGGAAGCGCAAGGTGCTGCTGCTTCAACTCCTTGGAGTGGCTGGAAATCCCAGCTAGAACTTCTTAGGGAGAAGTTTAAGATGTGGAGGGTCCTCCTTCAGATCTTACTGGGATCAGCTCAGTTCCTTTCCCAGTTAACCACGTAGATAAAAGACAGAAGGAATGCTCTGGATCCTGGACCCCAGGATCAGCCAACCTTAGCTGTAGACAGCAACTTTAAATCTCTCAGAGGGCTCTGAATGTCCCAGACAGGCAGCTAAGTCATGGTTTGGAAAACGGTCCACCAAAGAAGAACAACATATCCAGAGGTACCAAAGTCCATTTGAGAGCTCTGAAGACAGCAGCAGAGAGTTCAGTGCTACCAAGAGAAGATGCATGACTTTAAAATGATGCACTTAAGTTCACAGATGCTTGTGGCACTGAGCAAATGGACGATGTCTTTTTCCTTCCAACACCTGGCTACTAAAAAGTTTGGGTCTTGAACGCCTAACATTAAGAACACTACTAAAGACAGACATCACTCTCTTTTTCATCTCCTGTTCCAGACAGCCCACGTTTGGGTTTCCCTGTTTTACTAAACAAATTCAATCTGAAATATTCCTGGTTCTTACCTATGGAAACAGCTCAGGAATAGGTACAATCAGGAACAGGGACTGGCGTTTATTCCCAAGCTGCCAGGCACTTTCCAGTGTGACCTTCACAAAGCTGCTTAATCTCCCTCAGCCTCATGGTTAAAAAGGGAATAAATGACTCTGCTCTCTCAGAGGAGTGCTGTCAGGATCAGTACAAGCACGTTATGCCCAGCACTTTGGTATTTTTTTGGGTGCAAAAGGTGCCAGAATAAGGTGAATGCTTATTATATGCAGGGTAGCCTAGAAATAGCTGTTTTGCCTCTTAAACATCACAACAGTCAAGGACAGCAGTGAGAACTAGGGAAAGACAAGCAAAAGCCCACAGAAAAGGGAGAGCAGATGCATTGGGGCAATTAGAAAACAGCTATTAAAGCCAGTCCGCTTCTGCCATGAATCTCCTTTACGATGGAGAGACTCCCTGCAGAGGAAGACATATCACACCCACTATATCCTCGTGTTTAAGCCACTTACAACATGCAAAGGGAAACTGCAGGCTATGCAAGGTTGAAAACATCAGCTATCCATGCTGCTCCCCCTGTTTGCTTTGTTTTGCGAGGTTATTCCATGGAAGCCTGGGGTTTTACACACTCACTTTTCTCCCTAGGAATAAGTTTAACTTGAAACTACACTTCAGGCTTCCCCTGGTTTCAGGCTACACCGCTCTAGTGAGGATTTTCTCAGGCTGAAGGGATGCTTTGACTAGATTGCCTCCAAAGTCTCCAGCCACTGCGGCTGCACCAGCAGCAGTCTCCTCTTCATAAGGGCACCCCAATGGGTTCTCTGCATTTCGCCACTCTTCAGCACCTGGTTCCCCATTTCCCCCTTTTTAGGCATCCAGAGTACTGCAACCATTAACTCCCACAGTCCAAAACACACACATCTCAGAAACCAGTGCCTTAAACTAGAGGTATCTTTGGAAGGAAGTATGGAAGGAAGGGGCAGGAAGATTCAATTGGAAGGGAAGGAAGAAACAAGGGTTCTTAAAGCCAGCTGAACTGGTAAAAAAATCAAAGCTTCTAAGGGAGAAATGCAGCTGCAGCTCTCCAGGTCTAGTGCATGCCCATGCTATGGGATGGGGCTGGATGAACTGTCACTTCAAGAAAGGAAAAAAATGAGAGTCACAACAGCATGGACATGATTCATAAATTCTGGTCCCCAGGTGCCTCAGCCACAAGAGAAGTCCCAGCCCTGACTTCAGCAGTGAGCAATACATTCTAAACCAAACACGAGCAACCTGCTGTACTTACAATATTCCTGCACAGATTTATTTGGCGTTGCAAGGTAACACTGAATAAAGTTAAGCGTGTGGAAGCTTTAAATGCATTCTCTGTTGCAGCAGCCCATTTCTCACTGCCCTGGTGAGATCCCAATCTGCTGGTGTGGTGGGCACAGAGCAGTCCTGCACTCACATCCCCCTGGGCAGCAGCAGAGTTGGGGTGCTGAGCTGTACCCATGCTACTGTCAGCAGGGACTACTGGCATGTATAGAATCACAGAATCCCAGACTGGTTTGGGTTGGAAGGGACCTTAAAGTTCATCCAGTTCCAGCCCCCTGCCATGGGCAGGGACACCTTCCACTAGAGCAGGGACACTTTCCTCTACACCAGGCTGCTTCAAGCCCCATCCAGCCTGGCCTTGAACACTGCCAGGGATGGGGCATCTGTCCCCTGTGAACTGGCAAATAAAAGATGGATGTTAAACCTTCCTTAGTAAAATCACTGCAATGGAGACTTCGTGCCCTACCAGCGACGCTTCAGCCAACACCCGAGTCTCAGGAACATGTAAGAGCTCATTACAACACTGACAGGCATGACCATGGAGGGATGCACAACACCAAGGAAAGAGATGCTCGTGAGAGGAGCCCAAAGGTATTGTGGGATGCTCCCATGACAGACCTGATCCCATCCCCAGGAGTTTCATATTGGCTCACCCTCTACACACGTTCATTACAAAGCAGTTACCACCTCCTCACCAATTCCTAAATATTCATCCTTAAAAACACCCGGCAGTAAGCAACCCAACATACCCAAGCGGCAGAAAATAGGCTGAAAAGCCACCACCAAACTGCTTCCTCAGGTTCTGGGCTGCCTTACCCAGGCTGGGGTTGGGTTCAGCAGGATGCCCAGCTCCACAGCGATTTCTGCATCCGATGGGAAGCGTCCACCAGCGAGTGCACAGCACCTTGGAGCTGAAAAGGTCAGGCAGGACGGGGCCAGGGCTAGCCCCAGAGTGAGTGTCAGCCAGCCTAATTTTGTGTGTCAACCCTGAAAATTAGATAAACAATGACAAACCAGGCTTTTTAAATGAACCTGTCTCATCTCGTTCTCTTGATAAAGGGTACATTTCTCCCGTCGCGGTGTCCCACCAGACAGGTTAACTCTTTCAGAGGGGAGCACCTCGCAGAGGGTGATGTAAATCATTTAAATATCTGACATGAAATTAAAAGGGCAGGGCCCCCCTGAACACACAGCCCTGGCAATTCAAACTCCTGGCTCACAAGCCATCAATCATTTAGCCCAGTCAATTAAATTGCCATTATTCAAGGGTAAAAGTTCCATAATTTTACCTACCCTTAAAATTCAGCAATTTGCTTTCATGGCCTTCACCCACTGGCCTGAAAAATCTTCATTTCTGATAACAACACACCCAGAGCTTATTGCAACAGACTTTACATTGCATCCGTGGCAGGACACAGACCCACGGGCCTTTTCCAGCACCAAGTGCCCACTTGCAGCTCTGCTCTGGGTTTGCTCACTGGCACTGCTGGTAGGAGCAAGGCTCAACTGTCCAGGGGAGACCAAAGTGCCCCTGGGACCCAGCCCTACAAGGCAGTGAGAGCGAGTCCATCAAACCTGCCCTTGGCTTTCTTACAGCTGAATCACAGGATGGTTCTCTGGGCACCCTGTGCCAGGCCCTCAGCATCCTCACAGGGAAGAACTTCTGTCTAAGAGCTCATCCCAATCTCCCCTCTGCCATTTAATGACTACATGACACCCAAACATAACCACAACACCCAGCAGATCAGAAATGACAACAAAAGGCCTCATGCTTACAGAAGGTATGTTAGGAAACAGGCAGCATTGCTGCTGATTGCAACAGTGCCATACTTTTAATGTTCCCTTTTACAGGAATCCTCCCAGACTGTGCAGTTAAAGGCCTGTGCTCCATTTATTACAAAGAGGCACAGACAAACTGTGCATTTCATTTAAAAATTTGAATT